GGAGATGACAGGAGGATGTCCAGTTCATATGTCCCTCAACAAAAATCCCTTCAACTTGAGACCCTACCCTGCTTAACAATGTTCTATGAGAACAAGTGCTGAGAAATTCTCTAACTTGTGTAGTGATTATATTTTAATTAATGCCTTGAGATAAATCACCTGTCAGGCCCATCCTATGATAGCCCAATAGTCTCGTCTGTAATTTTCTAAGCAGGATTTCACAAAAATAGCTTATTCAACATGTGTGGGGTAGAAAATTCTGCTCCCTTTTACTGATAAGAAGGATCCTGAAATACTTTTATTTTTAAAGGAAGTACTTCAAAGGGAAAAAAGTGAAAAAAAATTTCTGCTCCCCAAATTACTTTTATTTCCTTCATCTTCCCTTCTACATGGTCTTCCTGTTTCAGACTATAAAAGTCAAAGCATAGCAGTAATTACTAGCTCTTTTCTCCAACTGACCTGCATCTATATTCTGGCTACGTGCACTTAAAATGTTGTCATAAAGTACTAACACTTTTAAGACAAGGTGACATACATAAAATGGAAAAATCAGTGCCATGATCCAGATTCTCCACCCAGCAATGCCCACGCCCAAGTCCTATCAAAGCGTTACCTAGCTGCCTAGCTCAAAATAATGCATTTCTTCGTTTGTGTGACCAAAATCACATTCATAATTCTTTATGTACTGTTATTCAGTTGTGACCAAAAAATATGAACACACAAGCACATTTCCTAAATGTGTTGAAAATAATGTCTGTAAAGAAAACAAGGTCTTCAGGTAAATATATGGTAAATTTATTTTAAGACCTTGTTCAACTGAAATTGCCAGAAAATTGCTCCAATTCTCTTTCTCCTCTAAATCCCCTAATACTTAGTATGTAAGGTTGGGCACGCAGCTACTTTCTATCTCAGATCAGAGTTCAATTGGCAAGCATTTATTAAGAGCCTGCACATATGTCTCTCTGATCACCTTTCCTAGACTCTCAAGCTCCGTGAGAACCTACAACTGAAACAAACCCTAGTTGACTAAAAGGCACTGACTGAGGAATTCATATAATACCTGAGCAATTTAAAAATATAATTCTATTTCTTCAGACACTAAAAACAACAACAACCCTCAGTCAAAAGCAATACCTTCAGAGATGCAGGTGTTTCCCTTTTATTTTTCTCCTATAGGACAAAACATAAGCACCAACAGCCCCATTTTTCCATCTGACCAGGGACTTTTCAAAGGCAGAAAATACACCCCTCATGTGCTGCACACGCCATTCACAGTGAAGACTGCCTGGGACCCTCACCTGTGCTCTAACACCACACCTTACCCTCTTCTCCCCCTGTACCTCCACGAAGGGTCCCTTCCCACGAAGGGTCACCTTCCCTCACCTGCACAAGCAACTTCATCTTTTTCCCCTTCTTGTTTCACTGCTCTCTCCCCCATCTTCAGTTGTTCTGTCACTGACTGTGTCTTTCTGCTTGCAAGCTTAATACCTGGGTCCCTAACATTTCACTTAAGGCGATTTGCCTACCCAATGCCAAAAGAGCCTGAAGTAGCATTTTTTCAGGAGGAAAACACACTGTATTTTAATCCCTTTTTGTGTCCTCCACTGCCCCTAACACAGTGCCTTGCACATTAATTGGCACTTGATAAATGTTTTTTAATTTAATTAAAATAACCTTCTTTTGCCCTCTTGAGCTACAGCCCTGTGTGTGTGTGTGTGTATATATATGTGTGTGTGTGTGTGTGTATGTGTGTGTGTGT